TCCTGCTTTTACTCGGGTTTCCTTCCAACCTCTCCATATATGGTGTGGCTCTAGAGCAGGCTGGGGATTGGCTGCTGTTGGGAGACCGGGAGGTAGAAGGATAGCAGAAAAAGAAAGAACCGAGCTTAGGGCAGGAGTGAGACGGCTGTGTGTGTGTGTGTGTGTGTGTGTGTGTGTGTGTGTGTGTGTGTTGGGGGAGGGTGCGGAGCCCAGTTTGAGGGCTGTAGAGTGGGCTGGTCTGCTTGCCTGTGAGGTGCAGACAGGGGAGAGGTTCTTTGGGGCTGGTTTCTGGGGAGAAGGAGGTAAATTTGCTGTTGGCTCCGGGGTTGGGATAGTGGGTGAGGAGGGAGGCAAGAGCTATTTCCCTGGGGTTGGAGTTGAGGCCTAGTGTGGCCTTGGTGAGGGTTGGAAAAACATGTGCCTCTTCCCTTTCTTTCTCCTTTTCTTCTCTTCCTAGACGACCTACAGCTAGGTTGTGGAAACTGCATGCAGATGACCTCATCAGCCTGCCAGGCCGACTCTCAGCCACTCTTCCTAATGGAGGAAGACCAGGACTGTGCTTGGATCCACTCCCCCAACCTCTCCACAGTTTAAGGCCAAGGCCGGGAGAGCAGAGGAAGACGCCATGGAATTAGGAATGAAGCGTTTGGCTCTTGACCGTCTTTATCTATCACGATGTCTCAACTCTGCTCCCTGGATTTTCCCTTCTCCCCATCCTGGGGCCACCTAAAGGTGCTCCCCTTCCCAGTTCATTTGGCTAAGAAAAAGCCTACAGCAAAGTTGTTGGGGGAGAGGAAGCGAGGAAAGTCCAGACATCCTGGAAATGCCCTTTGGCAGCTGTGTAATAGGGAAGCTGCCCCAGGTAGCCACGGAGCCTCTCTTGACCCAATCCATCCATTTACTGCCTAACACAGTTATTTGGAGGAACTAAGAGAAATGTTGCAGGAAAATGGTTTGGAGTGAAGGACGGAGGGAAGAGAGGTGCTAGGAGGAGGGGAAATCAGAGGAATGCTTCCTGAGCCTGTCTTGGTGCCTGAGCTCACACACACAGCCGACATTAACAAAATTGTCTTTATTTGCGGGTGTGGGGGTTGAACCCAGGGTCTTCCACAGGGTAGGCCAATGAACCAATGAGCCAAACCCCAGACCAGAAGTCTTGCTGGTAGCCCACCACAAAGGCACTCTGTGTTTTTCTAGTGGGAAGCCTGGCTTGGTGCTAAGTTCTGAAGTCCTTGAAGCCTAGGAATAGCGTCCCCCCCCCCCTTTGCAGCGGGCACACTCTTTCCTTTGAAGAGGTAGGGGCACAGCGGGCACAGCGTGTGGCCTGATCAAGTGTGTGGACTAAAACGAAGTGATAATGAGTTAGTGCACTGACTCTCAACCTGGGTCTAGCCACCGGGACTTCCTGTCCATTGCCCGCTGGGCCCCACGGATGAGAGCAGACATAGCAGCCACTTACTGACCGACATGCATTTCCCTCCATTGTCCTCACCCAATTAACAGTTCTGCAGTTTGCAGATGAAAAAACTGACACTCGGAAAGCTTGGGTCTGTCCCAGGACCTCATAACTAAAGAGGGACAGAGAACTTGAATCCAGATCCGTCTGGTTTCATGTCCCCAATTTTGTGATGTGGATATTTTGGCAGTTGCTGGAGAATTGGAAGCTGCTGATTCCCGGGACTGAAAACCCCAGGACCCAGTGCCCAGGTCTCCTCTGACCTTGGTCCTTTGCTTTTGCTCACTTGCCATTCCCTCTGCAGGTCTCCCTTCATTTCCCGGTTCCCCTGGGAACCACAGATGATTGGCATGTTGGGATACACGATGTTATTCTTGCTTTTGTCTTTTTTCTCATTATGTGGGAGTGACAAGGAGGAGAGAAAGGAAAAATGCTGGTAAAATAAAATTAATACAAAAATGGAGACTCATAACGAGAAAATAAAAACTTAACTCAGACTTTCACTATCTGTGGCAATGGGTGACGCTGATGGCCAGGCTTAGAATTTTGGAGAGTGAAGTCTATTTGGAGGACAGGAAACCTGAAGAACTAGGTTCCCTCATCTCATCCCCCAGAAGATGCTGGTAATGACAGTAAGTGCACTTTCCCTGAATCCAACAGAATGCCTTTTCCTCCATGAAGAGACGAGATAACTCTCTGCTGCATGGACAGAAAACTTTCATGACAGTGAGTGGTGGGGGCCTAAAAAGAGAGCAGGCATCCCTCATCCCTAGACAGTTTAACTTGGAGAGATTCCCTGATCTGATGTGGTTGTAGGAGCAATGTCAAGAACAGAAGAAGGGGCTGGGGATCTTGCTCAGGTGGCAGAGTGCTGGCCTCGTGTGCACCAGGTACCGGGTTCAATCCCAGCACCACACACACACACACAAAAGGAACTGAATCCTTCTCTTTCTCCAGAAGGATTTTCCTCTCTCCTTCCCACCCAACTTTCCTGACATCCAACAGGCTCATGACTGGTGTCTATATGTGGGTTGTTCCTATTTCCTCTCCCTTCTCCCCCAGTGAAGCTCCAGGACTTGGCTCTTGGTTGTGAGAAGAGACCTAGGGAAGACCATCGAGAGCAGCTCACAGGGGATGTGTGTGTTTTTAATCCCTTATTCACTTGATCCAGATGCTCTCTGACCCCTTTTTTTTCCAAAAATTACTCATATCTTGCCTTCACAACTTTCTTCTAGGCCTTAGCACTGTTACTAACAGATCCGAGAAACCTTAGAGAGCTGGGTGGGGTGGTACCTGCCTGTAACCTCAGTGACTCAGGAGGCTGGGGCAGGAAGGTTGCAAGTTTGAGGCTAGCCCTGGCAACTGAGAAAGACCCCGACCCCAAATAAAAAATAAAATAGGGGCAGGGGGTGTACCTCAGTAGTACAGCACTCCTGGCTCAGCCCCTAGTACGGAAAAGGCAAACAGAAAATTCCAGTGAAAAGCAGCAAACAAAACGAGTTGTGTGGGACGGACCTCAGAGAAGGCTGTGAGGCAGGCAGGCACCATGGTGGTGGGAGCAGAGTGTTACAGCTGACCTGGATCTGCTGACTGGTGGGAGGCCCTGAGGAGGGACAGGGAGTGGCAACAGGAAGCCTCACTTGGCAGAAAGAGGAACCCAGGCCCAGGTTTGGTTTTCCCCTTCTCCTACCCAGCCTGCATTGCAAGTCAGTTTCATTCTTAGTTCAGTTCTTCCATGGGGTCAGCTGTTAGTCACCCCCTAGTCAAATGACCAAACCCGTCCCACCATCCAAAGGTGTATCTTTGGCTCCATGCTCGGCAGGGCTTGGGAGATGGAGAAAGCACCTCCTAGCAGCTCAGTCTCGCTTCATGATCTACCGGGGTTGAACCCGGGTCCTCATGCACGAGGGGCAGGTGCTCCACCACGGAGCCCCAGCCCCAGCCCCACGTAGTTCAATCTCGACCAGAGACTCACTACTATGGGTGAGGAGCCAGTGTTGGGCAGGGAGATTTAAATTCCACATATCCTCCTCAGGGCTGGGGTAAATTTCACTTCTCCTGTGGCAGGGACAGGTGGCACTGTCCCCCACATTCCTGGAACTGAAGTTGGGCAGCTGAAATTTCACCCTCGGATAGAACCTGGAATAGGACACACGAGAAACCCCTCTTCTGCAGCTCCCTCTGAACTCGGAAGGCTGTGCGTGGGCTGGACACCTCCCCACTGCTGGGGGGTGGGAGGGGTGTGTAAGAGGAGCAGACTGTGTCCTCCTGGGTGCAGGGAAGCTCCTTATTACTGTTATAGGGGCCAAGCAGGAGCGGGAGTAAGGACAGTGGGTAGGGGGACAAAGGCTTAGGGGGTCAGGCACCAGCAAGAGCAGTGAGTTCAATAGTGTTTTTTTTTTTTTTTTTTGACTGAGGTAAATAAAAAACTTTTATCCTGCAACACTTTGAGATAAGAATCTATAAGCCCCCCACCAAGTTCCTGTCCTTCACATCAGGCTCTTCCGATACTGACTGTGCTGGGTGGTCTGTCTGGGGTGGGAGCCGGGGCTCTGCAGGTCCATCTGTCTGTACAGGTCCCTCAACTCGCTGACTTCCTGCAGCACCCTCTTGGCCTGGCTCCAGTTCGAGGTCGCCTCTCCCAGCAGCCGCTCCGTCTCCAGCAGCAGCTGCTCAGACTCCGAGTCGGGTGGAGACTGTGGGGGGTCCTTGGCCTTGCGTTTGCCATCTCCCAGTCCCTGAACTTCTGCCAGCAGCTCCTGTGTCTTCTCGAGTTTCCTGGCCACCAGGTCCTGGATCCGGGACAGCTGGCCGGGGTGGGGTGGGCTGGGGGCTGGAGATTCCCGCAGCTGGAGGGTGCGGGCTGGGGCGGCGTCCCGCTGAGACAGGATTTCCTCCAAGGAGGCACAGCGGCCTTTCTCTGTGGGGGTCAACTTCTTGGGTGCCTGGGGGGTGTAGGTGGCCCCCTTGTCTGGCTTTTCCCAAGGTCGAGGGAGGCTGGTGGAGGAGTGGATCCGGTCCGAGTCTGCTCTCCGCCGACTCCCCGCCAGCTGGGCCACAGACTTGTCCAGGTCCACCCGAAAGCTCTCAGCACAGGAGGCTGGCTCCTCAGGGGAGGGGTCTTCCTCTTGGATCAGGTCCAAGGTCAGCATCCCATCTGAGGTAGAGGTGGAAGCCTGGGGAGAAGGTGTGGGAATCAGGGCGGTCAACAGTCATCAGTAGGGATCTCAGCAGTGACGTCTGTAAGACAGACGCCAGCTGCTGCCATCCCCTTCTCCCCGTGCCTTCTCTGGGAGACCTCTCCGCCCTAGGCGAGCCCTTCTACCTAACGTGCCTTTTCTTAATTCCTTGGATGGAGATTCGAACTTTTTATCTTTCTGCGACTTCATTTCTCCTGCTTGTTACCCAGATTCTCCCCTTAGCTACAAGCTTCCCGAGGGGTGTCTACTTCCTCTACCAGAGGCTCCAAGCACAGTACTGGGCTTGGCACACACAGGACGCTCCACTTGGCACAGTCCTTTTCTACCTGCGTCCTTTGAGCCACACCTCAGCCACCAGGCTACCTTCCAGCCAACCAACGGGGTCTGGATACATTCCCAAGGCAGGTCTTGACTTTGCAACTCTCCTACCTCAGCCCCCAAGTCACTGGGATTACAGGTGTGCACCACAGGCCCAGCCAAACCGTGTTCTTTGTTCCAGAATACAGTGGTTTTTAAAAAGTGGTAAGGATATTCAACGGCTCCATTTTACAGATATGCAGTTCCAAGGAACCACACAGTTAACTACAAAGTTACTTTGTGCCCGACTCCAAAGTCTACATTCATGCTTCTACTTCCTAGAAACTTAGAGCTCAGATCAATGAAAGAAACCATTGACTGTATGGTACAGGGGTTTGCTGTGATCCTTCCTCCTCTGAATGCATGTAGTTCTTTTGTATTTGCAGGGGGGGGTGCATGCCAGGGATTGAACCCCGTGCCTTGTGCTTGCAAGGCAAGAGCTGTATCCTCAGCCCCCATGCAGATCTTAACATGGTCATTCATCAAGACAGCTACCCACCACACAGAGGTTTACGTCATCTTGTATGGTATTCACTTTCTCTATTTTTAATTTTCCTGGGTGGTACATCTCATTTCCCCCCAAAGACAATGACATTACTGAGAGCAGAGACGTCTTAGCTCTTGGTAGGTGTAAGGGGAGAATCTGGGAAACAAGCAGGAGAAATTAAGTCACAGAAAGATAAAAAGTTCCAATCACCATCCAAGGAATTCAGAAAAGGCACGTTAAGTAGAAGGGCTCGCCTAGGGCGGGGAGGTCTCCTTCAGAGAAGGCACCAGGAGAAGGAAATGGCAGCAGTTTGCATCTGTCTTTCAGGATGTTATTGCTGAATAAATATTTCTGATTCAGAGGAATCAGGAAGAATGCGGGGTATTGATCTTGTTATCAAGGTCTTCCTCAAATGCCGGTGGTGGTAGACAGTTCTGTCTGGGACAGACTGACCCCGAATCAGCCCTTCGACAACGTTTACTTCTTTAGGCTTACGTACCACAGCCATGAGGTGTCCCCGAGTTGGGGGGCGGCGGGAGTGCTGGATTTTCGCTCTGTCTCGAGTGGGGTGGGCGAGATAGCTATCCTCTTCAACGGTGACCTGAAGAGAAGTACTGTCAGCGGTGTTCTTGGGATTGTTTGTCCCACCCAGCATCCCCCAAGTCCCGAGGGTGCTTGGACTGGGAAATACGCGCACCCCATAAACCACTTTTGAGCAATCACAGGCAAAGAGATTTACTGGATGTGAGGGGGCTCCCCCAATTCGGCTCATGCATCGTGATGTTGGGGAAGAGGAGTTGGCAGAACAGACTTGGAAGGTACAGGAGAACAAGGATTTCAAAAGGGAGAGAAAAAAGAAGGGCTGGTGGGGGAGCAGGTGAGTAGGGCCCCCGAATAATAATCCTCCCTCTGTCCCAGCATCCTTCTCCCCACAGTGAGCCCCTGACCTCATCCAAGACGCGGTTCTTGGCTCTGGTGATGGCGGAGTTGAGGGCGTTGATCCAGGACTCCTTTTCCTCTGGACTCACGGCCAGGAAGATGAGGTTGGGTGCCTGTGAGGGGAGAGTCTCGTTTCAGCCTGGGTGTTAGAGCTGGCGCCTCACCTCGACAGTGAAGAAACAGGAAATCATAATCGCATTCTCTGGGATCCAGCTCCTGCTTCCAGAGTCATCCCTAACTCCAGGAAACCCAGCTCCTGCCCCTGCCGGTCACCACGGCTCGGACTCTGTTTTGGAAACGACTGAGGAGGAGTTAAGCAGGTAGGTGGCTCTGGAGAGACTCAGAGGAGGTTTGATAAAGGACAGATATTTGAGATTTTTCTGTCTGAGGAAGTACATGGTGACAGAAATGGCTTCCCTGGTTTCCTTAGACCAGGGGAATTAGTCAGAACCCTGATCGCCTTCCGGGGCACAGAGACCAGGGACTTCCTCCCAGGGGACGCGTGTATGTAGGTGTGCGTGAGGGTTAGAGCGGGGGAGAGGCATGGGGGCTGCTGGGGACCCAGGTAAAGGGACTTTGTGGCTGAACAGGTCAAAGGCCTGGAGAGAAGGAAATGGCCACAATATTCTGTGGTTAAATAATAAAAGCCAGCAGGAGAGCAGCTCGGGACCTGGGAGCCAGGACTGCAGAGAGGGAGAATCTGGGGGGGAGGTCTTCCTTCTGCCCCTCCCAGCCCCTCCAGTGCCCTGGTGTCCAGGATGCGGAGGTACCTACTGTGTTGCCGGGTTGTTTGGAGTGCGCAAGAGTAAACTTGCTATGATTTTTCTTGCTCCTGCTCTTGGATTTCCGGAGCTCTTCACACTTCTCATAGTCACTCAGGTCAAACACCTCTTGAATATTTTTCTCATCTTTTACCTGGGGGAGAAACCCAAGGGGGGGGGTGAGGAGGATAAAAATACTTAGCCCCTCCCCCCAAATATCAGTGTAGGTAGGCCTTGGGGACCTGACCGTGCCTGAGGAGAGGGGAGGACCACGGGACAGGGCCACCCGACCCGTGCCACACAGAGGCTCTACGTCACGGGGCTCCCGACGGGCGGCCTCCGAGTCCTCCGTCCTCCGGCAGATTTCTCTTTAAACCACCAACCCTACTCTCCTCTACTCTCCTCAGCTGAGCTACCGCCTCCAGAGCCTCTCCTCGCCATGAATCCACTGAAGGACGCAGAAAAGGCTCAAGCCCTTAAAGGGACATGAAGAGTGGGCCGATCTGATCATTCCCAAGTAAGGAAGACCTGCAGTTCAGCGGAGGGAGCTGTTTTTCCACCCCCAGCGAATTCTCAAATGTCTGGAGGGAATGAAGGGCGGCCTCTGGCCTCTCAAGTTTACACGGTGGCCTTCTTGTCCCCAACCTGCTCTCCTCTAACATAGACGACTACGAAGAGACTCATCCAGACTGGGCAGCCTGTCTACCCTCTTCTGCTCAGTTAGAAACACCTCAGAATGGCCATGTTTCCTAGGATGAAAAGGACAGGCCACCAGAACTTGTTCTGTTAAAATTAAGCAAACATGTTAAAACACAAAAGCAGCCTCAGACCTTCCCTGGAAGACATATACCTCCCTGCCTGGATCTGGTTCAAAGGAGCCAGCTTCCCAAATTCTGGCATGATGTCGTGGGACTACGTGGTGGTGGAGTGGGTCTGTCCATCCTTCTACATGGTCCTGGACCAGGGGGTGATGATGGTGAGGACAGATGATCTCATAGCTCCCTTCGTTTGGGCAAGGCTTG